GAGTCGAATCAGATGAAGGGTAAATTTTGCTACAAGATCAAGCACGATGGACTTGCTCCAGAACGGCTTGGAACCCGGGATGCCAGCTTGTCTATCATATAGTGAAGAGAGCAAATTAAATCATTGCCTTGCCTTTTTTTAGCCAATAATAGTAGGAACCTATACAAACCTATACAACGACAGATATTGCGCTTTAATCAAATGCGGCGTCCTTTTGAATTATGTGGCGACAAATGCATCGCCAAATTGTTGAGACAACAGATTTGGTTGACCTAGGAGATTTTTGACATACTGAACCCTAAAATGGTACCATACTCAATAACAGAGGCTTTAATCAACTCAAAATGTTTTTTTTTTGCTTTTTTGTATTGAACACCTCACAATAAGCTTTTTTCGCTCTTCAATGTTATGTTGATCGAATAAAGGTTCTACCGATTTTGACGTCAAAAGGGACTCCGTAAAATTTCGCGGAATCATGGGGGACTTCTTTTCACAAAAGTTTCAAACCAAAGCCGCGTGCCGGGTCTGTAAGGATCGCCACTAAGCCGAAACAAGTCGAGGTAAGCTCAAACACGAGATTTGCTAGCGAATACAGCGAATACACAGGACTTTAATGAGGATGAAGTCGATAGGGTCAGGCACAACCCTTTAGAAGGTCGCTTCCTAAGCTTGTGTTGCTTTGTGCCTGCCCCCTCCCTCACCTTTTCTTCGGAATTCGGAATTCCCTCTTTTTCCGGTTTCGAGAGTTGAACTCATAGCCTCTTCTTGCTACAGTAAGCAAGGGTCGTTTGGGTGTTTCAGGTGGAATTAGGTCCGTTTCCGAAAGGCTTGTGCTTGACCTCTTGCTCAACCCTGCCCCCTAACCGTCACGATGAGATTTACACTGATTTTTGACAGGAGTACCATTTGCTGTCACAAAATAACTGTATAAGTTTACGTATAAAGTTATTTAAAGCTTTAATGTGTCTTTCTCAAAAAAGAAGGATAACTGACCGCTTTCGAAAGGTATGCTATAAATCAGAATGCTCGTCTTGAATTGCTGATTTTGGAACTATGTTCGTTATCTGCGAGACGCTTTTCTGAGGAAAAATAGCTCTCGCGGCAAATATTCACACCGACAGAGATCAAACCAGCATCCATTGTGCATCGATCGACAGAAAACCTAATTGGAAGTCAAGTTTTGGCAATGGTTAAGACATAACAAAACTTTCTTGTTGAGGTCTACAGATCGGTGCTGTCAAATGGCGCTATTTTCATAACCGCTTAAATCGCTCATCATCTTATATATATAGCTGAATGTCTGTTTGTATGTATGTCTGTCTGTCTGTATGTCTGTCTGTCTGTGTGTACGTATGTTCCGAATAGAAAATTCCATTTCTGAACCGATCCGGACCAAACTTGGCACACATACACTACGGGCCCCGGCGGGTGTCACAGGCTACTTTTCGTCATCGATCGATATCGATTTTATCGATTTTTATCGATTTTTTTGCTGAGTTCACCTACGGGGCTGGGAGTTGGCACAGGGGGGTAATCGAGCATGGGGATTCCGAATACAATATTGGTTTTCAGGATTATCGATTACTTTTATCGATTTTATCGATTTTTTTGCAAAGTTTGAGCTACGGGGCTGGGAGTTGGCACAGGGGGGTAATCGAGCATGGGGATTCCGAATACAATATTGGTTTTCAGGATTATCGATTACTTTTATCGATTTTATCGATTTTTTTGCAAAGTTTGAGCTACGGGGCTGGGAGTTGGCACAGTGGGGTAATCGAGCATGGGGATTCCGAATACAATATTGGTTTTCGGGATTATCGATTACTTTTATCGATTTTATCGATTTTTTTGCAAAGTTTGAGCTAGGGGGCTGGGAGTTGGCACAGGGGGGTAATCGAGCATGCTGATCATCCCCAAGGGAGGTGATCAGCATGCTCGATTACACCCCTGTGCCAAATTCCAGCCCCCTAGCTCAAATTTTCAAAAAATCGATAAAATCGATAAAAGTAATGGACGATCCTGAAAACTAATATTGTGTTCGTAATCTGCATGCTCGATTACCCCCCTGTGCAAAATCCCAGCCTCGCATGTCAAAATTTACAAAAAATCGATAAAATCAATAAAAGTAACCGATAATTCTGAAAACTAATATTGTGTTCGTAATCAGCATGCTCGATTACCCCCTGTGCAAAATCCCAGCCTCGCATGTCAAAATTTACAAAAAATCGATAAAATCAATAAAAGTAACCGATAATTCTGAAAACTAATATTGTATTCGGAATCCCCATGCTCACTTCCCCCCCTGTGCCAACTCCTAGCCCTGTAGGTGAACTCTGCGAAAAAATCGATAAAAATCGGTAAAATCGACATCGATCGATAACGAAAAGTGGACTGTGACACGCGCCGGGGCCCGAAGTGTATGTGTGCCAAGTTTGGTCCGGATACGGCGGAGCCGGGTAAGCCAGCTAGTCTTATATATAAAGCTGAATGTCTCTTTGTCTGTATGTCTGTCTGTATGTCTGTCTGTGTGTACGTATGTTCCGAATAGAAAATTCCATTTCTGAACCGATCCGGACCAAACTTGGCACACATACACTACGGGCCCCGGCGGGTGTCATAGGCTACTTTTCGTCATCGATCGATATCGATTTTATCGATTTTTATCGATTTTTTTGCTGAGTTCACCTACGGGGCTGGGATTTTGCACAGGGGGTAATCGAGCATGGGGATTCCGAATACAATATTGGTTTTCGGGATTATCGATTACTTTTATCGATTTTATCGATTTTTTTGCAAAGTTTGAGCTAGGGGGCTGGGAGTTGGCACAGGGGGGTAATCGAGCATGCTGATCATCCCCAAGGGAGGTGATCAGCATGCTCGATTACACCCCTGTGCCAAATTCCAGCCCCCTAGCTCAAATTTTCAAAAAATCGATAAAATCGATAAAAGTAATGGACGATCCTGAAAACTAATATTGTGTTCGTAATCTGCATGCTCGATTACCCCCCTGTGCAAACTCCCAGCCTCGCAGGTCAAACTTTACAAAAAAATCGATAAAATCGATAAAAGTAATGGACAATCCTGAAAACTAATATTGTGTTCGTAATCTGCATGCTCGATTACCCCCCTGTGCAAACTCCCAGCCCCGCAGGTCAAACTTTGCAAAAAAATCGATAAAATCGATAAAAGTAATCGATAATCCTGAAAACTAATATTGTATTCGGAATCCCCATGCTCACTTCCCCCTGTGCCAACTCCTAGCCCTGTAGGTGAACTCTGCAAAAAAATCGATAAAAATCGGTAAAATCGACATCGATCGATAACGAAAAGTGGACTGTGACACCCGCCGGGGCCCGAAGTGTATGTGTGCCAAGTTTGGTCCGGATACGGCGGAGCCGGGTAAGCCAGCTAGTTTATAGTAATTTTGAACTTTGAGCGGCACCGCCGGCGTAAAACAAGTGAGCCTACAAAAGATATCTGCGCAGCAATGTGTGAGGGGACTGTCACCAAATCCACGAAAGCCTGTTGGTCAAAACGTTTCAGAACAAAAAACATAGCATAGGGTATAGACGACACGTTCGTTCTCTCATCAATGTAATCAAATTAGCTCCCTTTACCAGTTGCCGTTGCTATTTGATAGAGCTTTTTACGCTCTAACCATGCATATGCAACTTGCCTCGACTTTTCTCGCTTTCAAAGATTTTAAAACATAAATTTTAGCCTGGACCTCTGCGAAACGTCACACTTTTTTAAATAAAGTGCCTCTTTTATAAAAAAAATAGTGGAGAATTTTTGTGCATTCAAGTAGTTTAAGAAGAAAAAAGAGCTTGGAAAGCTCTTTCCATCGATATGTCATAGTAGGGACTTTAGGGTACAGTAGTACAAATTCGGATTGCGTTCAAAGAAAATCTTATTTCTTCGAAACGCCGCCCAAAGGAATGTGCTTGAGGTGCTGCAAGATGCTGTCAGGATAATCCGCGAAGATTTATGAATTAGCGTTCAAATTGTGGGTGGAGGACATTAGGTCGCCGAATTTGGAAGAGTCCCGCGCGGATTCCCTGCAGGAACGCATGTCCGCGCATGTACAAGGGTGGCAAATGACCGCGGGGACCGTTTTTCGGCGACCTAATGTCCCCCACCCTCAAATTGTTAGTTGTTCATATTCAGAAAGAAATCTTAAGAATGTTCAAAAAATCGAGGTGCCCCACTACCTGTTTCAACGACCACTAAATTACTAGCATTTAGCTGTAACCATAAAATTTGGAAAAATGCTACAGTCTGTACTAGTTAGTTTCAGTTCGAAATATCAACGAAATTCGCTTTTGCAGCGCTCATTGTCTGTGGCGCATGCCCGTGCGTTAAATATAGGCTGTCGGGTGACGGCTCAAGCGGCATCGTCCAGTTACTGAACCTATCTCTTATCTCACTTACTAAATTACATGTAGTGGAAGATGAACTAATCCACACATCACTGTTGTTGCGCTAGTGGTACTGTAGTATAGCTTCACTAGAAACTCGCTTTGGCATAGAAAATTCAACAACAACATGTTTGAGCCGGGTTGTTCATGAGGAGTAAAAGCGAGCGCACGATCTGGATGTATGGTGCATTGCCTATAATTGTTCACGTATGGGCCATCAACGTGGCTGTCTTTCGATTATTTTACAATGTTAGCTTTGAAAGCGCCTCAAACTTGCTGAAGTTAACGCGTTAAAACGATCGAAAGGCAGCCACATCAATGGATCTTAGGGGAACAACTCTGAGGGATGCACGGTAGCTATTTCGCACGTCCTACCCAACCTGCTGCGTTTTATGATGAACAAACTTTAATTCTTACCACTTGTCGAGGCTCTTTGAATCACTACGATTATTTTTTGAATTAACCATGATTACGTGTCAAAGACGCGATGATTTTCAATTATACGAATCGTCAAGGGTCGATAGAACTTTTGATACTTTCCCAATGTCTCAGTGGAATGTGCATACAATAAAAACGTTTTAGAGCCTCAATGCATCAGACGCAACAAATCCCGAATCGAACTCAAGCATGCAGTCGTCCACGTAAGCGTAATGAAGGAAAATATACTAAAGGGCATGCAACTTTTGCATTAGGTATGGAGCAGAAGTGAGCCCGAGCTTTACTCTCAATCCAGGAGATGTAAAAATGATCCACCATTTACGCAGGGGTGGTAGACTCGTCATACAAAAGAAGAAGAATGGAGTAAGTGTCTTACTTTCCCATGACTTGAGAATAGAAAAGAAATTCTGCGATGACGTTGTTCTCTAGCTGCCACCGTGCACCCCATTCATGGGAATTTGTGATAGTCTGTGAATATTTTAAAAACTCGGCTTAGCTAGAAAAACTTCGTTAAATAGATTACCGAGCATTTTATTCGCTATAAAATAAAGTTGAGAGTATTCAAGGATGTTGCGTATGCGCTGAGCTGTCCTGATGGTCGCAAAGTATTTCTCGAAAAAACGAAGGAAAACGCCGTATTGTCGCTTACAGACAGCGATGGACACTCGATCAAAACACTTGCTTGTGAATTCTGATAAAACCTTAATCCTAGATGTAATGAAAGTAAACAATTCATCTTAGTTGCATACTGTATGCATCGACTGTACGCAGGTTTCAATGCCGTTCAAAGGATTTTATTGGGCAATTCATGTCAACAAACGCATCAAATAAATCAAACAGTGGGGTTTATTGCTGTCTACATTCAAAACATATTCACAGACTCAAAGTTTCAGCAAAATGGGAGCAAAGGTTATTGAACATAGTAGAACTCTTGATGAAACACCGTTTGTAATGAAAAGTGAGGACTAGCTGAGCTATCATTATTAGCACAGATTTTCTAAACATTCAACCATGAATTGGGTGGATTAAAGCACCAAACCTCAACTATCAAGTGCTGCCTATTCATCTCATCATGAGAGTGGCGTGTCGATTGGGCATCAAAATTTATTCGAGAGAATCCTAACAGTAGCACCCTCAGCAGAGATTAGATATCAGGGGCACTGACTGATCATTTGCAAGTGTGGACCTGGATGTCCTCAATGCACTCTTTGCAGTTCACTTGGCAGCACCAGACAAATTTACAGTGACACTGCGTCATTTTGCGTTCCAATCTGGTATTGTAGCCACGACCACAGCATAGCAAATCGCAGCTGTCAGCGTTGTATGACGAGTGTTTACATTCTCGCCCGTTCGTTCCCAAAATACCTGAAGAGACTTTGGTTGCGCAAATGACGATATACCGCGATAGTTTAACCATGCCGTGATCTCGGGTCTAATTGATACTAGATTTTGATTCAAGATTTGATTACTAACTAAATGGAGGATTTCTTTGAGTACTTCTCGATGTAGAATTAGATACACGAGGTGATGAGAGAAGGGCACAAATGGATATGGCAGTATGGACCCTAGCAAGCAGCATTGCTAAACGTCCTCCATGGCTGCGCCAAACTTCTTCCAATTAGCAAGATCCGCGTAACATTCATGGTTGCAAAAGTCATGTTATTGAAGATGCTTTGACGAGTCTTTCACTAGCTTTGGCTTCCAGAGCTTCAAGGTAAAATGCAACTTTGCACAGGTTTTTTGCCTTAAAGTTAACATGCAAAAGTGAAGTCCAATGTTTCGAATCCAACTGACGTCCTTACAAAATGTGGTAAGCGATAAGCGTTTTGACATAGTCGACGAATGAGTAGTATTTACACGATCGAAGCTCAATTAATATGGGTGGGTGGGTGCCTGGGTGATACGTTTGGAGAAACATAAACAAATTTAACTCTCTAGAATTCAATTGAGCGAGATACACATTGATAGTAGGAGAAAAAGAAATAAACAAACCCGCAGAGTCGTTCCTTTCGCAGTAACTTGGTGAGCGCATTACGTAGACCATCTCGTTACCTCTTATCGGGTTTTGCCGCTCACTTCTTTCCTTCCTACGAAGTCGCTTTCTGGCCCTCTTTGTCACCTAAGCGGAGTATGGGAGAAGCTAGTTGGATAAACACATGTGCTGTGCTTAAAAATTGTTCACAACAAAACCCAAGACAATGAATGTTTGGGGACATATTATTACCTTGAAATACACTCACACTACAAACTAATGTCCAAAAATATAAACTAAAGTTGATCTGGATTATCTCTACCATGCAGTAAATCGTTATGGATGCCCTTGTTTAGATGACCACATAATTAGTGCTAACTGAAATCGAACATAGGAGTGCGTAATTACATCCATTTCAACCTGAACGGCAAAGTGATCGTAGCGTTTCTTCAACATTTCTGCCACCTCGCTGAACTTTGGCATTTGTAGCCAACATGTTTTGAACTCACACGATCCCGACACGCCATGACATCTGCACTGCTTTCGCACGTTCTGCGAGATCGCCTGAAAACATGAACGCCGGGTGTTTCCAATCTCTTTTATAGTCAACCGTTCTTCGAAGTTTTCTCTTGCTGCGCCTCATCTTCGATCAACACTTTCCTGAACCACTTAAGCCAGTAGAAGATTTCATGAGGATCAGAATGTTTGGCTTTTTCACCTATGATTGTCGATAGGTACTGTAAGTTACATTTGAGGGTTGTACATTCACTACCTATTGAACCATAAGGATATTGACTGTGAAGTTGGAACCAAATTGAAAATTTTATGACATCGTGATGAAAGAACGCTTATCATAGGAAGAATTTGTGAAAGCCGTATATGATGTTGAGAAATAAGGTATTGCAGACCTTCTTCGTCTTATTCATGGAATTACGAGATTCATAAGACTTTTTGAGGAAAAAACTCGAATGCCACACGTGCTCACGAGAATTATAGTGAGGCACTACTTGCCTTCCTCAAGTCGGGCAAAACAGATTTGTGAAACGTAAAGAAGAAAATAGTTCTGAAACAGGGGATTTGAATACTTGGACAATCTCGCAGTCCTTCATTGACCTATAAGCGCACAAAACCAACCATGGTAAGCTTGCGTGTATGTGTATTCCACGGAAAGTAAGTATGTTAGTATGGAGACGGTACACAGGCCTCGGCAGTGTCAGCTGCGAGCATTTTTCAGAACGAAGTCCCCGCCTAGCACAATTACTTCGAGATCCCTCTAAAGTTTCTATTTCAACTGAGTTTAACGACCAGAGAAGATCATTGTTTACCAAACTTGAGCAAAATTTTTTTTAGAAGAAATTGATTTAGTTTTTGGAAGCCATAAAAAAACATGTATAGCAACGGAAATTCTCTCTTTGCGACTCTGCGAGAGCAATCCGTGCATGGAAAGAGAGGCGAGAACAAATCTTAGTTACATCTTCAAATCCTGCATCCTCAAATTTCCATTCGGTCGCAATTTGGAGCGCGATATTCACCAAAGCTTACTATTTCTAGATCTACTTATAGCCCAGAAATTGAAAAGAGGCAATTGTTTCGTTCGATTTCTTCGCTAAATGGCATAGCCAAAACGGGGGAGACGGCCCTTCTGCACCGCTAGCCTTAGCAGCCGGACTACTGCGCGCCTCTTATTGGTCAGCGCCGCCACGAGAGAGCTAAACTGTCGTTAGAGATGCAGGCGTTTTATATTAAACGAGTTAAGCAAAAGAACTCTCTCAAAGATAATTAAGGATAGTTTTGAGTTTTACATAATCAATAATGTTACATTAGATTATAGAGGGTTTCAGTTTGGGTGCGTGGCGTTAGGTACCTAGCCGAGATGCGGGGGCGTTAGGTACTCAGCCATTAGTGGTATACACTAAGCCACGCCCCTTGGCTGCTTTAACAGCGGGTACCTAACGATACACCAAATTCTAGCTGCTAGAACAGCCCTCCTAGCTCGCTGAAGCGCTGGGGCTTGCGACCCACATGAAGAAGATAGTTCGAGAAAATCAAAAAAAATGCGCGAATGAAAGCGCAAGTTTACAACGCTTATCCTATTGCTTTTTTTAAAATCAATTTTAGAACCACAGAAATTCGGTATTGAAAGCTAAAAACAGGGTAAGGCTTTTATGAGCAGTTCATAGTTTTGCAAAAAAATTGTGATAATCTGAACCGATAATGTCAGAGGGAATTTTATGAAAGTTAACCTTGTAGAATACCAATAAATCAAAGTTTTATGATTTTAATGAAGAAAAGCGCACTTTCGGATGCGCCCCTGGCAAATATTAAACGGAATATTCCTTTCACATATTGTCATCAGGCTCATTTTGAGGTGTGAAGTTAAGGGTCGTGACACTTGCGTTAATATTGCCGCAGGAATTGTGAACTATGTCAACGTAGATTATTAAGGTTATTATTTCGGTCAGACCAACAGATTTATGGGGCATTGATAAGCACACATTTTCTTTATTTTGGAAGATTTCTCGTGTGAAAATTTCATTGAGCTATTGTATTTCACCATGCCTACGTTCTCCGTAATGCTTTTTGGAGGCCTTCATATTGCAATTGTTTCATATTCATTTTCTTTGCAGCCAAAATATTCTCAGTTTATCCAATCAAAGCTATGAACTTTTTTGCAACTTCCTAAAAAGCGAAAGATTTTCCAGTAATTGTTCTCATTAGAGTTGCTGCTTTTTCCTGTTGCATTCTTTTGGCGACACTCATCCGAAATTGGCATAGCTCTGTAATTTACAATTTTCATTGACTGGAACAAAGCCCTTCCCATATCAATGGACCACATAGTCCGCCTTAAAGTTTCGTCGACAAGTTCTCGTCGGATCTCTTCTTTTAATCGGTATCTCTTCTCATTGTCAAAAATATATTGAAGCAGTTTTTTTTTGAAACGAAGGAATATTTCGTGCAACTTATTTGCCAGGAGCGTCTCCGAAAGTGCGCTTTGTTTCAGCAATATCATAAAATTAATTCTACAAGGTTTACTTTCATAAAATTCCCTCTGACGTTATCGGCTCAGATTATCACAGTTTTTTTTTGCAAAACTATGTGAACTGCTCATAAAAGCCTTACCCTGTTTTTAGCTTTCATCACCGAATTTTTTGTGGTTCTAAAATTGATTTTTAAAAAGCAATAGAAAAAGCGTTGTAAACTTGCGCTTTCATTCGCGCATTTTTTTGATTTTCTCGAACTATCTTCTTCATGTGGGTCGCAAGCCCCAGCGCTTCAGCAAGCTAGGAGGGCTGTTCTAGCAGCTAGAATTTGGTGTATCGTTAGGTACCCGCTGTTAAAGCAGCAAAGGGGCGTGGCCTAGTGTATACTACTAATGGCTGGGTACCACCCGCACCCCTTTCAGTTTACATATGCAGAAGCGGTGGTTCGAAAAACTGGCAAGGGGGCGAGGAATTACAAAGCAGCAAATAAAAAAAACTAAAAAAAAACTCAACCTTTCCAGACTTTTGTCTTCGTAAAAACATTGTGTCTATCCAGAAAATGTGCACTCGCTTGCATCAAAGTCGAAATATTTGAAAACTCTGCTAGATTGTAAAAAACGCGGAGTATTTAACGCTAGGTGGAAGCGGTGCAGGCAGAAGAGGCATAAACCCTCCAAACGATCCAAATTTGTGTATAAGCTGTAACAACCGGTCCTGCAACGTGGAGCCTGCGGCACGACAGTGCAGTGTAAGGCCTAAGGCACACTTCCCGCGACTCCGCCAAATCGCTACATCAACGCGACTTGGCGATTTTCCAAATGTCTACACCACCATGCGGAGGACTCAACAAAGGCGTAGCTTCTGTGAAATGTTGCAAAAGCATGAAGTTTGGCGCAAAAGCGCGCCTACAACCAATTATGGAAAGTCGTTGCAGTGCCAGATTGCGCTGCGACTGAAATCGCGTGAGGTGTGCCCCAGGCCTCGAACAGAGTTCACGCAATTTAATCGACGCGATTCATGGCTACAAGACAAACAATTACGAGATCATTGCATGCCGATTTTCTCGTAATTCGGTTGTGATAGTCAGTCACGATTAGTTGTGTTGGAAAGCTATCACAACCAAAATGCGAGATGCAATGATATTGTTAAAGTCGTCTTGTCGCGTTCACTCGAGACGATAAAATCTCGTGAACTCTGCCCGGGCCTTAGGCTTTACGCGTTAAGTAACGTCGCATGCGATTGTGCGTCATCGCAAGGCCTACCAGCGCGGAACCGATGCTCGTTGGTGCAGCCCACGTTTTTAGTATCATGCTCCGAACCAGCCCAGCTGGCTTAGTGACAGTCTATAAAATACCATCAAACACAAGAACAGATGTTACGCCAGATAAGTTTCGTAACTTTTACGTAACACAGTTGCGATTAATATTGTGCAGTTAAAATTTTGCGTCATATAAACGACTTGCGGACAAACAAGCCATCTGTTTGTTTTCACATCATTTTCATTTTCGCTCACTTGCGCAAAAAAATGTTGGTCTATGCCAGACATGCGCCAACTTGACGGTGAAGCAGGTTAGCATGTCTGAAGGTCAGTGTATCTAAAACTCTTGCTATTTGCCAGAAAAACAGTCTCTATCATGTGCTCTGCCCAGACACACCGTGGGTCTTGTCCAACATTATACTGACAATGAGAGATGTAGAAACGCATCATTTCTATTTCATCACACGCTTGGGCCTTAACTTTACGTTGATAAATCTCGATTGCGATGAGGGGTCCTCAACATCAAGTGCCGTCAGCAAAATCGAGGGCATCCAGCCTCAGTACCCGAGATATCCGCGGATTTTTAATCGTACCTTGCATATATTAGGTTCGTGCTAAGATAATGAGCGTTTTGCGAGTTCTCACTTACAAGTAAAAAATACTTGGCGACCCCGGCCATGTGAAATGAATGCGATGTATACCAGAGTGCACCTCGAAACGCTGATTCTAAATCTGTGCTCGAAATCTGCGAAACGATCATATGAAGGCAGTTATGAACCTTTTTTCGTAAAAAATTGCGTGCTTTTCGATGGTTAAAATCACCAAATTTGGTCTATTTTACCGTTTGAAGCTATTGAGGAGAATCTTGAAAGGAGTACGTTGTATTTACACCTATTTAAATCATATTCAGCATTTGAAGATAAAAGAAAAATTTTTACTAATAAGTTTTCATCCTCCGCAGTAGGACAATTCATTCTTGAAAAGATGGTTATAACTCCATCCACGTTCTCGTTTCGCAGATATGAAAAAAAGTATTCAAACCAGCATTAAAAGGCGCATTTTTTGATATACAAACCGTTATGAATATCACCAAGTATCCTTCCCTGTTTAGACGTACTTTAACTTTCTATAAAATCCACAATTTTTTACGCTATGAAGACCTTCAAAAGCAGTAAACCTTTTGCATACAGCGCACATTTGTACTAATATCTTGAATGGGCAGAAAGTGTGGATTAGAAAACAAAATAGTCTTTTTTGAATCCTCGTTTTAGACAAATCATAACTCTCTTGAGAGTTTGTTAGTCTATTAAATAGCCTATCTTTTA